TGATTAAATATGTATAATAAGTATGTGTGTTGAAATTAATTTTTACAGTTATTGCACATTAAACAATGTACATGTTATTAAACAAATGTCCCAGTTTGTGGGACAAACAAGGATTTCTGATTCTGATTGTCTTGTTTACAGAAATGTAATGTACAGCTTACCTCTGCACCCAGCTTCTGTTCTCCCTGTCCAAACGTCCTCCGTTTCTTTGTTGGCTGCTGCACTGATGCACTGCATTCCTCAGTCAGAGAATGAATGGAGTCCCCAATGAGACACAAGTTCCACATCCACCTTCTGTGGATCCCAGCCATTTTGAATAACAAACACGGAAAGCAAAATAACGCATTAGCATGATTGCATCCAGCTAGCCACTGCTTCCTGGTGTACCAATTTTGGGAGAAGCGTCGTGTGTAAAGTTTACCCTTCTCCTTCTCCTGCTGGCTTATCTTTACGTCGGGCTGATCTGGTCCAAGCTCTTTGACATTAAGTTTTTCCACCATAGTTCTCCTCTCGAACGGATACTGGAGAAGAGACCGAACTGAATTCAGTAGCTGCTGAGATCTGGTATCCATGTTGTAGGCGCACTGGCGTCCATGTCTACGTCTGCGTCATGACCGTCACAAGTCACGACCAAAAACGTGCTGGAGTCGAGACTCTCCGAGTTCTACCGAACACCAACAAAAGCCTTGGCGGTAGCTCTATCGCCCATCATGCTTCTGAAACGTTCTGAAACAACGTCGACGCTTATTGGATACATTCCCATTCCTACCCTTTGATTTTCTTGTCAGCAATTGGACAACTGGTCCCGTCTTGTTTGGGCGATTGAAAAACAGCACACAGCCTCCACCGCTTGGCAGAGACCGGCAGAGATCAGCAGAGATCGGCAGAGACCAATATATATATATATATATATATATATATATATATATATATATATATATATATATATATATATATATATATATGATTTATTTTTGTTACAAAACACACAATTAACTTAGAATATGTGATTATTGTTAATTTTATTTAATTATTTTTTAAAATAAAAATTAAAAACAGGGGAAACTGGGAGGGTGGTGCCCTATCGCCCTCTACTGGCCAGCCGCCACTGTCTCTATGGTTAGGATGAAGAGATCGCCATGCATCACAAAGCCCATAATCACTCATGTACTGTTTAACTATATTAGTGGATTGCCAATTGCGCTGAGTCCCAGCTGTACTGAGACTGTCTGTTAAGGAATTCATCCAAAAATTAAAATCACCTCCAAATATAAGTGGACAGTCCAAGTGTTCGGAGAGTACAGGGAAAAAATTATGAAAGAATGGAGGGTCATCAATATTTTGACAGTAAATGCTGACAATACACAAGCGTTGGTTCTGTACAGATATTTTTAACATTATAAATTTACCCTCTGGATCGGAGACTGTGTCCAATACTGTGAAATTTATGTTTTTGTGTATTAAAATAGCTACACTTCTTTGCCTAGAGTTATAGCAGGCAGAGAACATGCTGGGAAACTCAGGTTTCTTAAGTTCATCTGCGGATGTGGCAGATCTATGAGTCTCTTGTAACAATATTATGTCTGCTTGCACTCTCTTTAGCTGATCAAAAATCTTTAATCTTTTCTCTCTAGAGCCAGCTCCATGTACGTTCCATGAGACAAATCTTAGTGCACCCATAGATGTGTGTGTGAGTAGCTAAAATATGATGCCTTCATGTGTATAAGATGGAATAAGTATAGGTTTGGAAGATCTTGGGTGTTTGGTGCATGCGCTGACGGCCGATCACCGGACACAGCAGCGTTTGAAGTTGATGGCAGCTCGTTAGCTAACATCCACAAACAATTTAGATTCATTTATGCCTAATTTAACTAATGACAACGAAAAAATTTTCTGGTAAGTATAACTCACTCAATCTGGAGGTAAGTGAAGGAAATTTAGAAAGTTTGTTAAATTATATTGACAACGTTTTTGAAGTTTTCGTCATGGGTCCAAAGAAATCAGCAGCTGAGGATGAAACACCTGCTGGGACCAAGAGGAGCCGTCCTCAGGACTCGCCTGAGGCCTCATCTCCCCAGAAGGACGTATTGGAATTATTAGATTCTATTGATAAACGGCTTCTGGGATTTGAGGGACGACTTCATCTGCTCGAGGTTCTTCACCAGGAGTTTCAGAACCTCCGAACATCTCTGGAATTCAGTCAGGAGCAGGTTGAACGGCTCGCTGCTGAGAACGCGTCTCTGCGGGAGTCCGTTTCTTCCCTGGAAGAGGGAATGACGCGGATCGCCCAGGACAACAAAACTCTGAAGGAGACAGTTTTGGACCTTCAGGCCACAGAATGAGGGATAATCTGGTGTTCGCAGGCCTGCGGGAGCAGACGGGAGGGGCGGAGAACTGTGAGCATAAAATCAAGAACTTTCTCCGGACCCAAATGAAGATACCCGAAGAAACGGTAAAAAAACATCACCTTTCACCGGGTACATCGCCTTGGAGCTAAAAGTGGAGACAGCAGAAGACCCCGTCCCATCGTGGCTAAATTTGAACATTTTAAGCAGAAGAATCTTGTTAAAAGTCACGGAAGAGAGCTCAAAGGGAAAGATTTCAGCGTAAATGATCAGTTCCCTAAGGAAATTCTGGATCGGCGCCGGGTCCTCTTTCCGCTGCGCAAAAAGTTTATCCAGGATGGGAAGAGAGCTGTCATCTTGGTGGATAAGCTTTATGTGGACAATAAGCTTTACAAGGAGCGAGGAGTGACTGACTGGCTGTATTAGCCCAACATCAGGTCAGACATTTATTATTCTTATCAGGATTCACTGGGTTTGATCACGTCAGGATTAAACAGCTGATAAATCTGTATTGTTGATGATAATATCACCTGTTCTCACCACTTCACACCCCTACCACCTTTTCTTTTTAGTTCTTTCTTCTTTCTTTAACCTGTATCTGTATTTTCCCTTCCTATTTGCCTGCTTCTGCACCTTTACACCTGTACGGCACAACCACACAACTTTCCAACACTGCGTCAGACTCGACACACACACACACACACACGCACACACACACACACACACACACACACACACACGCACACACACACACACACACACACACACTCAGATATATTAAATTCACAGCACAATATCATAATTTATGTGTCAAATAATACAACCACAAACACTGTTGGATCTTTATTATTATTAGTATTATTATTATTTACTTTTCTGTTTTTAACATACTATTTTATTCATTTAGATACTTATTATTACTTTTGAAGTGTTTAAGTTCAGTTTCACTGTAAATTTTAAGTCACTAAGTGTTTGGGAGAGTTGGAGAAACTTCACACACACCCACTTCTCTGTGAGAACAAAGGACCCCATTCAAACATCCTCCATCTCACACACACACACACACACACACACACACACACACACACACACACACACACACACACACACACACACACACACGTGTTTTTAGTGTTTGGGGGGGACTCACCACTGAAACAAATCCATCCATTGGGGACATCCTCCATTTTACACACACACACACACACACACACATCTCCAATCACATCTAATTGTTTTACATTGTTATTCCATTGTTTAATTAAATGTTATAAAATTCAGTTTTGCCTCAAGTGACTTTGTTTGTGTTGGTTGAAAATTTCTGCTCCTAACGATTCCACGAACTTTCAGACAGATTGATAAGATTTTGGATTCAATTGATTTTCCCTTTCTAACTAGAGTGGGTGGTGCCCCGTAGATATCTAAGAATATCTTAATTAATAAATCGGTAAATATTCCCATATTTACAGAATTTATTGAAGAATCCAAAAGTAAGTAATAGCTCACAAATTATTTGCTTACCATAACCCCAACACAGTCCTATAAATGATGTCACTGTAAACCAAGATGGGAAGTTTTGACCAAGGTTTGCTTTGCAGAAGGAGTAAAGGATGATCTGTTGTGGTATAGAAACCCAATTCTTGATGACTTTAGAAAGTAATGAATTAATGTGAATGTCAAATGAAAGTGTGCTGTCCAGCCAGATACCCAGATACGTATAGGAACAGACAAGTTGTAGTTCTGTACCATCCAGGGAAACAATACTAATGACAGAACTCAAAAAACCATTCTTTATTTTAGAAGATCATCTGGCCCTCACGGTGTCTGCTGCATAAAACTTCGGCCCTTAAACACATTTAGCTGACAACCCCCTGCCATAAAAGATCAAACTCTGAAGCTTCTAGCAGAAGCTGTGTGTTAAAGTTATTACCATATTATAAAACAGTCAGATTAAATATCTACATGTTTACTGATCCTGACTTTGTTTACATTTTATTCAAAAAATATAAATGTTTCTGCTGATTTTAAACATAAAAGCTTAAGCATCTTCAGACTCTGACAACAGAACGTATTTAGCTAATAACAAAGACTTATTTTTGTTCATCAGACAATCTCAGTTATTTACTGTAGAACAAGCTGTAGGAAGATAAACCTGTAGAATAAATGTTTCTGGAGTTTATTTTGTTTCCAGCAAAAAAGAAAAGTAATGAAAAAAGTTTGATGTGCAGCAACAGATCAGCATTTTAAAGGAATCTAGATTTTATTTTATATATCTAAACTTTTACCTATAAAGTGACTCTGGAAACTTGCACACCCTGTTTGATTTATTTATTATTTTGTGTTTTGAGTCTAAATATTAACTAAACTCATGTCTCACCAGATAAAGCTGATTTTTAGAGGATTGTTGATGAACTGAAAATTCAATACCTTTTATTAGATAATTCATTTTGGATCAATAAAGTTTTTTTTTTCAGAGACAATCTTGAATTCTTGGGTTTGACCTGCACAAACATCAACACTTGGTACAGAAGATTTTTACATTTTACAACCTTCTAGATGTCTTTAATAGATGTTTCTGTTATAAACTAAACAAGTGAAAAGCAAACAAATGAGACTGACTTTATTTTGAGTTTAATGCTTATAAAAAAGCTTTATTTAAGCAGGTGAAAAACCACATGAATCAAACTGAAAGAATTAGCAAAGTAAAACCAGCATCACAGTGAGTCCCATCAGTACTGGGAACACTGGTCTCTCCTGAGTGACTCTGAGACTGGAGACTGGGAGCCCTGGGTGGCCTCACAGGTCACAGAGCCCACCTTCCTCCACTGGTCTGCAGTGAGCCTCAGGGTGCTGCTCCAGCTGTAGAGGGCGTCCTTCATCACCACGGGGCTCCTGTCCTCCTCCCAGCTGCTGCTGCTGCCGTCCACCTTCCAGGACAGACTCCAGTCTGAGGGGAAGCCCTTGTTGGCCAGACACATGAGCGTGGCCTTCCCCTGCTGCAGCTCCTCACTGGAGGGAGGCAGCACCGTCAGGATGGGACGAACATCACCTAGGAGACACCACTCAGGTTAGAGGACAGGAACTAAACAGATTTCAGTCAAACAGCAGAAACTCTTCCTAGAAGTGATGCTGTATGTGAAGAAGTTTCTACCAGATGTGTTTCTGCTCCAACAGACACTCACTTTGTTTCACTTCCTAACAGAAACCTCTGATGCAGATCAGCTCAGAGAAAATCATCCAGCAGTTTAACTTTTTACATCTGAATCATTTCAGAGTTACAGTAAAAAATAAATCACAAAGGAAATAAGATAAAACATTTAAAAAAGGCAGATTTGACTCTAACAAGGGAAATTATTACTTGTGATTTATCTTATAAAAAGAGAAAAACATATAGTTTTATTATGAAATGTTAAATAAAAAATGTTATTTTGGGGTTTTTTAATCTCACAGTTAATTAGATAGAAACAAAGACAAGAAATGTAAATAAAAAAGATTTTTCATAACCTGTTAACAGTTTTCTATAAATGAACATAACTTTGTAAAAGGTCTCTGTACAGAGGGCATTCTGAAATGAGGAATATATTTAAATATATGTGTTTTTATAATAGACCCAAAAATATTAAACTAACTTCTAACCTCCAGTCTGGTTCCTCCAGACGTGACCCACAGTTATACAAACTAACTCAGCTGCTGTTTTGAGACGTTTGACTGTAGAGACACGACTTTCTGTTTTTAATCATCATGATTAGAAAATAAATCATTATAAATAAATGTTTTCTCTTTTTTGGCCTCATTTTAAAATCCTAATACATTTTTTAATGTTGTAAGTTTTAAATTCAAAGCAAACTTTGCAGTTTAGTCATTCATATTAATTGTAAAGCTTTTAAAAATTAACAAAATTACTTCAAAAGACAACAAATCTCTTTAAATAATGACAATAACAACAACTTAAATGTAAAATTTAAAGGTTTTAACTTACTTCCAACCTCCAGTCTGGTTCCTCCACCAAACGTGTACCACAGTGATACAAACTGGTCGAGTCGTCGTACAACAACCTCTGAGAGACACGGCTCTGTGAGTCTGACACAAACAAACTCACCAGTTTATACTAAATGAGACTTTTGTCAGCTTAAATTTAATTAACTGTGCTAGTTTTGAATTCCCAACAACACAGTAATACTATTTATCCTGAATGATTAAACATGATGAAAGGTTGTAAAGGTGTTCAAACGTGAAATCATGTAAAAGTAAATATTGAGTAGAGAGAATTTTTGTTTCAGTTCTGATGAATAAATAACAAGCTGACTAGAAAATATTGTAGAAAAGATGAAACATTTGTAAAAATGTACAGAGTCGCAAAAGTGTTGTTACTGGTTTTAATGGAAGTTATTGGTTTCATTTTGAGCTTTTTATACATTAAAAGTAATAATGTTAAAGATAATTTTATGAAGATCTCAGACTTAAATTATGATTCCAAATCGTGCTTAAAATGTAGGTGATTTAAAACCATCATCAGCCTGAGCCATGATCCTGTTGGAATGAGTCAACAGATTTCCATAGAGCATGACTTTGCATCAGCAGCACCATGCTCCAGTGCTCTGGGAGAGTTTATAGTCCTGAGAGTTGAAGACTGGATGACTGACAGCTGTCCTTCATCACAACAGAAGACTTGGAAATCCTCCTGATCAAAACCATGACTTTGATCTGCGTCCTCATCTGGACTCTCCTCTGCTGCTGCTTCACAGGTAAAGTCCAGAGAATCCAACTCCTCTCCTCTATGAACATCTGTCCCTCTGGAATGAAGCCCACAAAAGCATCAAGCTGCTTTCTGCTTTTGTCTCCTCAGAGTCCAGAGGTCAGGTCACAGTGACTCAGTCTGCAGCAGTGAGCTCTGCTGTGGGACGCTCCGTCTCCATCTCATGTAGGACCAGTCAGGATGTCTATGTTTATAACAGCAACAACTGTTTATCCTGGTACCAACAGAAAGACGGACAACCTCCTAAACTCCTCATTTATTACGCTACCAGCCGGCAATCAGGAATCTCAGATCGTTTTTCAGGCAGTGGATCTGGATCTGACTTCACTCTGACCATCAGTGGAGTTCAGGCTGAAGATGCTGCAGTTTATTACTGTCAGAGTTATCATCATATAAACAGCCAGCGTCTGTTCACACAGTGAAAACCCGTCGTACAAAAACCTCCCTCAGTCAGGCTGAACAGAAACTAACAGCTGGAAGCTTCAGCAGTTCACTGATGACATAAACACGTGTAGCAACACTTTCATCCTTCAAAACACTAAATATGATATTTCTTCTTAATATAAAATAATTAAATGTGCTGAATTTAATAAACCATTTAGATTTTAAAGAGTTGATGACTTTTTGTTAAATGAAAGAAAAAACTTAACGTACAAATAAATGAATGAAAAGAATGAAATTAGCGGACATTAAAAAAACTCAACCATTTGTGTTTCAGGAAGACTAGAAGAAAACGAATAAAATCCAGTCACTTTTTAAAAAATGCCACAAATTATTGCAAAGATTTGAAGATTTATCCTGAATCTGATCCTAATTGGATGAGACATAAATAACGTTCTGTTTTACATCATTTCACTCTTTTGTGCAAATAAACCTCTGCATAACAAGCTATTTAAAAAGAAACTGATTAATTTTCATAAACAAGTATCAAAGTCTAGATTCTCATCATAGAGGAGGAAACATGGAGACAGCTGGTGATCAGCTGACTGACTAAAATGTTGTGTTTGATCATTTTCCAATGAGAATTTTCTTCAGAAATTCATTTGATCCCATTTCAGACAAAAAGCAGGTCACAGACGTAGAAATATGACATGTAGAGCTGATGATCAGCTGACTGACTGTGTGTGTGTTTGCATATGTGTCCTGCCTCTCTGCTCCCAGCTGTTAAGAGGTCAGTGTTGATCAGTGGCTGTCCAGGTCTTTCAGAGACACCGACACACCGGCAGCACAATGATGATGTCACTGACTCTACTGCTGACCACCCTGGGGCTCCTTGTTCACGGTGAGACTCTCTGATAAAAACTTGGTTTCAGGATGGAAACAGGTTCACTACAATGATGATCTTAAATAACAGAGAAACACTTTACATCCTTCTCTTCATATAAAATTCCTTTAAAGTTTATTCATCTTTTTGCTCATTTTTATCATTTCCAGGTTCATCAGGAGAAATCAGTGTGGCTCAGACTCCAGGAGCTCAGTCTGCTGCTGCAGGACAAACTGTTTCTATCAGATGTAAAACTGACACACTGATAGGTGATGACATGAACTGGTATCTTCAGATATCTGGAGAAGCTCCTAAACTCCTGATTGCTGATACAACACTCCGTCAGTCTGGAGTTCCATCGTTTTAGAGCAAGTTACTCAGGAACTGACTTCACTCTGACCATCAGTGGAGTTCAGCCTGCAGATGCAGGAGTTTATTACTGTCAGCAGGATTACAACTTACCGTTCACACAGTGAAGCAACGTTGTACAAAAACCTCCTTCAGCTGAAGAGGAACTGACCCACAGCTGCTGTACAGAAAGAGTTTACACATGCTGTTAATAAAAGCAAACACAATCATAAAAACGTATACACTTAAAAAATATATATTTATTCACAACTTTATTAAGTTTAATAGGGAGTTTTCTTTGAATATATTTTATTTTATTAAAAAATACAAAATACAGACTTGATTACATTGGAAGTATTGTCTGTAGTCAATGAAAAAGGCACAACAGCATTAAATCACCACATATTTACTACAAACATTTGTTCTATTTTCTTTTAGGGTTTTATGATTTATTAATCGTGTTCTTCTAATAAACAAGTAAAACAAGTAAGTAGTATGAAAAATCTCCTGGGAGACAAAAAAAATCCAAGGTCTTTATAATTTTTCCTTCTTCTTTTAATGTTGTTTGATTAAATTGTTAGTTCATAACTTGTGAAGATTATGTCATGCAGTAAAATAAAAATCTATTTTAAGAATTAGAGCTTGTTAGATTAAATGTTTTTATGGAAGTAACCTGTAGAAAACACTGTGATGATCCCACCACTAGGGGTCACTTTACCTCCATTTTTTACGTTACAGTCTACCGTTATATGAGCTTCACCTGGGTCAGGTGTGTTCTTCAGTGTTGTGAGGAGTTCACTGGTCACCTCTGATGTTTGGTTTCTCGTTATGTTTTGGTTTTTGCGACACACATTTTCACACATCCAGACAATCGTTACTGAGTAGTCATGTTACCTTTTAGCCATTGTCTCAGAAAAGCACCACTTCCTGCTGTCCGTGTCTGCTTGTTGCAGCCTCTGAGCCAGAATAAAACTGAAAAATGTCTTGTTGATTCAAAACAAATTCGTCATTTTTCTTTTTTAACACAAATAAGAAGTGCCAACACAAAAATTCACTATGTTCAATTTTTAATGCGAAAATCTAACTATACACTTGCTAGTGTTTATCTGTGTTGTTTTTCTAGTTTTCTGTCTTTGTCTCCAATATAGAAACAAATACGATGTATATGCACACATATTTCAGTTGTAACTAATTTAATTTCCCCTCAACACCTGAACAGTCTTGTTCTTGCCTCTGGCTTTAGTGACAGAAGCTGACTGAGCTGTTGTACAAAACCTCTGACTGTAGAGAGAAACGGCTCTCTGAGTTTGACACAAGAGAAAACATTTTTTACACACAAAGAACAGTTTAAGTTAAGGACTCACCTTCCCACCATTTATTTACAACATAAAGATAGCATCTACAAACAGGAACATGGACGTGCCATGGCATTCCCTGTCTCTCCCATTGTGGCTAATGTCTATTTGAAAGAAGTGGGAATCCCCACTAATAAGAATGAAAAAAAAAAACTAAGAACACAAACACATCAATAAATCACTCCAAACCTGTGTGACAACTGGCTGTATGTGAAAGCAAATGTCAAGAAAACACTCAACTCAGGCCAGAGGAAGAGAGGAGAAGAGGGGGGAAAAGAGCAATGTCATCCCATGTGTGGCTTGAGTGTTGCAGAAACTAAGGATTGTTTTCCAAACATGATATTCTGGTGGATTTTAAACCTCCTAACACTCTCAGAGACAGACTGGATCACTCCAAGGACAAAATGCCCAAACACAAGCCCAGTGGTGTGGTTCATGTAGTTCAGTGCAGCAATGGATGCTCAGACACCTTGTTACGGACCTCATAAGTTTCCCCTGTGATCAGCTCATGGAAGCTGCCACTCTACTCTGCAGCGCTGTTCCAGCATCCTATTTCAGCACCATGGAGAGTGACATGCTGCTGCAACACCAGTAGAAGCCCCAGATGATACACATTTGTGATTAGACTGCTCAAGCATTCAGAAGGCTGATTGTTTTGATAATTCAGGGGGCCCAGATCTGTGCTGTTGTCCTCTTGTCTGTAACTGGTATAGCAATCAGCCCCCCCCCTTACTTAAAGAGCGGGTCAATTGAGCCTCGGAGTCCTTCTCTACCCACGTATCAATTTTAAAAAATGCAACATTAGTAGGCGTTGCCTGGAGGACCGAGAGGGCGGAGCCGCGGCAGTGACAAAGACGACGGCTAACTAGACGATGCTAGCTCCCTTCACTCTGAGCAGTTATTAGAAGTGGAGGATGTTTCTCCCCCTCCTTACCCAGACACTCGAGAAGAAAGGGACCAAGTCTATTTGGAGGAGACAAGCCTGGGACGTAATTTTGGGGGGGGACGGGTGGGACATGTCCCCCCCCACTTTTTCAAAAGGCAGTTTTGGTCCCCTGCACTTTTTTCCGTCCAAAAACAATGTTACGCTCCATTAAATGGATTTGGTTGAGCACTAGGACCGAAACGGAAACCGCTTTACTATTAGACCCGCCCAAAAGCTAATCTATTGGCTCTGCTGATACTTGCTAACGTATTATTGGCTGTTGTGCTGCTGTCACTCAAGTTGTAAACAGTCAGAACGTGCTGACGTTGTTTTGCTAGTTTGGAGCCGCTAGGGAACACCGGTACTGAGTCACATCGTCAACTAGACGCTGTGTAATATCAGAGCTCAGCTCAGCTTCCAATACATAACATTTGAATAAGTGTTCATTTGTGAGTCTTTGGTAGTTAGGCACAGCCAGGAGGCAGCATGTCAAGAAAACGAAAAGTGGATAGAAGAGACTTCTTTCAAAGTCAAAACGTAAGTTGGAACATGTGACACCCCTGCATTAAGCTCAGACTCACCTCCTCCTTCACAAACATACTCAAAACTAACTTTTACAAACGCATCTCCTCCACATAACTGACTCCTCAGACACAATTTATTCGTATTATTATAATAATTATTTTTTATTATTACTATTATCATCATAATTATTATTACTAGTAGTAGTAGAAGTGTAACTTCAAAACTTTTATCATTTAACTTTATTGTAAACTTATCTATTGCAATGTATATTTTGACATTAAAAAGCTCTGAAAAATGAACAGTATCATCATCGTCAACAGATTTTTTAAGCTTAATGTCAAAGATGTACACTTTTCATTAGATTTATCTTATTTTTTCCATTTATTTTTTGTGTGTTGAAATGCAACAACTGTTTAAACACTTTTAAGGGGAAAAACAAATTTAATATGTTTTTATACACTCAAATGTTAGGGTGATGATCATGTGTAAAGCATTAGTTCAGCATGTCCTCTAACACAGCAA